TCCTGCTTGCCTGTATTTTCATGCCCCACTGTGAAAAACATGGTGGGTATTTCTTTCCAGTTAGGTCCTGAGCCAAATGTTGAGCTTTTCTGCCCAGGAAGGGCAAAATTCTAGCACTGGCAGGGGTGCAACCCAAGGGGTGGCTGGGGTTCTCACGGCTCTTGGCCATGGGGCAGGCTGGTCTAGACAGCAGGAGGATGTTTTCAGGGTTGAAGTTTCCCCCCACCTAGTCCTGAACCCATTGGGTCCTGGAGCACCTGTGTTCCTATGAGGCCAGTGTGGGCCACACATGTCTTCAAAAGGCCCTTGAAGCTTGACTAAGTGTGGCAGTTTCATTCTGAACATGTTACTCTAAAACACATCACTGCTAGCCACAGGAGGATCACATACTGTGAGCTTCTGACCTGTTGACGCTCAAGAGTCAGGGCGTGCAGGGAAGACTCCAGAAGTCCTAACTCTTCCTAACCTTACATCTGCGATTCTTACGCCCTCAGCTGAAGAACTTGATGAATTTCAACTTTGAAGGGGTTCTTCTAACACTTGGCCATTTCAACCAGGCTTTGCTAAAGTCCTCTGAAATTGAGGGACTGAAAACCAATTACTTAGATCACAGGTTGCCTCTGAAATCTGCAAGGACCTGCTGTCAGGGCTCATTAAACCCCAAAGTATGGCACCTTGGCATGCGGATTACTCTGACCCAGAGGAGACTGAAAGGTCTCAGAAGCCTAGTCTTTGTCCTTCCTTCCTGGTTCCTGTCCCCTTTTCTCCCGCAGAGTGAGTCACAGAAACCAGAATTTGTTTTCCCGAAGGCAGGTCATAGAAACTAGAAATCATCTCTCCCAAAGCTAGCCATAAAACCTAGCAAGGTCACTCTCCTCCTTCTCCCTGGAGGACCTTCATTCCCGAGGGGCCCTGCCCCATACCCAGGGGAAGGGAAATTGTTCAAAGCAGCCTTGCTGGGTTTCCCCACTCCGTCCATCACCATTAGGCCACATCCTTTGTGTCCAGCCATGTCCAGCCATGTTCTGCATGGCTGTTCATACATCAAACCTAAATACAAAAATAAAGCTTTTCGTTGGGTTTTGGGTTAAAAAAAAAAAAAAAAAAGACTTCATTTGCCGGGTTTCTGCACTGTAAATTTACTGAAGTTACTATTTTTCCTGTTGTATAGTAGATTCATTTGGCTTATTCAATACTACCTTATACCTTATATATTTTGTTGTTCAAATGGTTCCACCTTTGGTCTGTGGAATTTTTTTCATGTTGGCTTCTTTGTCCTTTTGACATGTCCCCAAATTCTTCTGTCTTCTGAACACTTCTTTAATTTCTAGCAGTATAAGATGCTCTAGGCTCAGCTTGTATTTTCTCAGCCATAGATGCAGAATCAGCCATTCTTCCGAAGAACCCTGTTTCCTTTTAAAGAAGAACTGTATTTAGACACCAAGATCTGGACACTGGACTAAATCGAAATTTAGTATATGATGAAATAGGGTTTCAGTTAAGAGGAGAATTATGATTTACTTAAATGATGTTAGCTGTCTGTGTGATAATCTGTAAAAAAGTTAAACCACCTCATTACCATTTGCTAAAAAGTACAAATTTTAACATCCATTTAGATTGAAAACATGAATATTAAAGTAAGAATATTCCCAAGTGCAACTTGGATACAGGAATTAAAGAGAGGCTTGCTTAAGCAGGAATCCTCAAAACCATAAATGAAAAGATCATTTTCCTGAATAAATTTCTTATATACGGTAATAGACATGATACAAAAAGTAAAAAGGCAAATGACAGGAAAATTAGAAACAGATGGTACCTCTATACAAAGAGTTGCTACAAATTAATAGCATAATGATATTCCAATAATGTATATAATTAATAGAAGAGGATGTTATTTAGCTTCACTGGTAGTCAAATTAGCATAACAATATATCTGGCCCATTGGGTTGTAAACATTTTAAACATGAGTGAAAATATCTTTGTATGATTATAGAATAAAGTATGAAAGAATACACCCCAACCTATTAATATTGGTTAATTTGGAAGTGAAAATAGAGGGATCAAGAGATTATCAACATTTAAAATATAATCTAAATGCTCACTAAACTTCTATTTGTTACAATAAGCCATGTCTTAAAAAATATCAAGGTCAAGGCCATTAGAAATTATTGCAGGGCCGGGCGTGTGACTCAAAGCCTGTAATCCTAGCACTTTGGGAGGCCGAGGCAGATGGAGCAGTTGAGGTCAGGAGTTTCAAGACCAGGCCTTTGGCAACATGGCAACACCCCAATCTCTCTAAAAATACAAAACTTAGTGTATCATGGTGGCACACACCTGTAATCTTGCAGGTACTCGGGAGGCTGAAGGCACAAGAATGACTTGAACCCAGGAGGTCGAGAGGCTGCAGTGAGCTGAGAGATCATGCGCCACTGCACTCCAGGCCTGGGCGACAGAGTGGGCACACCTGTCTCAAAAAAAAAAAAAAAAAAAGAATTATTGTGTTCAGGCATGGCGGCTCACGGCCTGCTAATCCTAGCACCTTTGGGAGGCTAAGGACAGATGGATCACTTGAGATCAAGAGTTCGAGACCAGCCTGGCCAACATGGTGAAACCCCGTCTCTACTAAAAATGCAAAAATTAGCCGGACGTGCTCGCTTGAGCCCAGGAGGTAGAGGTTGCAGTGAGCCAAGATCATGCCACCGCACTCCAGCCTGGGAGACAGAGCGAAACTCTGTCTCTAAATAAATAAATATTGCAGTAAATTAGGCAAAAGATTGTGGTAACTTGAATCCGGGTGGTGACGGTGGAGATGGACACAAATGAGTGTATATGAGATATATTTTGGTATGAAGTTGAAGTTCAAAAGAGAAGTGTAGACTGCAGGTACAAATCTGAGAATCATCGGCACAGAACAGTCCACTTCTAATGATTTACCATGTAAAAATAAATCCCACAAATACATATACCAATATGTACAAGAATGTTATTGACTCACTGTTTCATTTATCAAAAGTTACAGGTAACCAGACATTCAGAAAGAATTTAATTATTTTTAGCAGAGCCTGAGGAAGAGCCTCCAAGGTCACACTCACAGGCCACATACTGTTATGCAGCTGAGAGCCTAACTGTGAAATTGAAGGGGAATGGCTTCTCGGGGTGGGGGACTGTGTGGTGGACTGTGTGGGGCTCAGGTGGTGAGATTGCTTGTGGCCAGGAGTTTGAAAGCAGCCTGGGGAATATAGTATGACCCTGTCTCTACAAAAAATAAAATTGTAAAATTAGCCAGACATGGCTGCATGTGCCTGTAGCCCTAGCTACTCAGAAGGCTGAGGTGGGAGAATCACTTGAGCCCAGGAGTTCCAGGCATCATGAGCTAAAGTCATGCCACTGCACTATAGCCTGGGTGACAGAGTGAGACTGTCTAAAACAAACAAACAAACCAAAAAAAAATATAATTTCTGTGCCTACTAAAACAGGTAATCACATGTTGTTCAATGCAACAACAACAACAACAACAACAACAACAACAAAGCTGAAGGAGTACCTGCAGTAATGAGAGGAGAAAGAGGTCACAAGGAAAAGTCCTCTTTTAATCTCGGAGGTTTCTAGTTTTAACAGGTACATTTAAGTCTATTATCTATTTTGTTTTGTGGTGTAAGGTCTATGTTCATTTTTATATCCATGCAGATATCTAGTTTATCCAGCACCACTTGTAAAAATGCCTGTTCTTTTGAATCACCTTAACACTTTTGACAAAGATCTGTTGAATATGAATGTCTGCATATGTGTACACATATCTATATCTCTATCTGTCATACACATCTGTGTATATATGATGCTCTCTATAATACTCTCATTGATCTGTAGATCAGTGTCTTAGTTTGTTGTGTGCTGCTATAACAATACTACAACTGGGTAATTTAGAAATGGAAATTTATTTCTCAACGTTTTGCAGTTTGGGGATGTTCAAGAGCAAGGCGCCATCATCTGGTCTCTGGTGAAGGCCTTCTTGCCCTGTCCTCACATGTCAAGATGACAAGAAAGGGACCAAACTCCCTCTGTCAAGCCCTTTTATAAGAGCAGCTAATCCCATTCACTCACGAGATGTCCTCATAGCCCAACCACCTCTTAAAGGCATCACCTCTTAATACCATCATATTAGCCATTAAGTTTCAACATGAATTTTGGAGGAGACACATTCCAACCATAGCATGCCTATCTTTATGCCAGTATCACACTGCCCTGCATATAACAATAATAAAGTATGGTTAAATTTGTAAAAACAAGTATTTGAATTTTATTAAAGTATTACATTGGAAAGCAAAGGCATACAGAAATCATAGAAGAGAAAAAAAGACCTGCAAATTAGAGGAGTAAAAATTGTGACTTACTGGTTTTGAGATCGAGGATCCTGCCCAATCTTCATGACTATGGCTGTGGGAAATACTGTTAGAAAAAAAATGAAATCATAGCCTTACTGGCAACAAGTGCCAGAGACTGGAGTTAAGACTTGAAAAGCCACTGCAAATTTAAGTAGGAAATCTTGGGAATGAGAACCAGAGAAGAAATGCGATAGAACTGCCCAAATCCATGTCTCACAGCAAAATTCTGTATGAGTGAAGGAGACTCCATGAAGCCTGAGGAAAAAGCAAGCAAAACCAGATAGAAATCTAGTCTTAAAAGACCACTATTCGGCCGGGCATGGTGGCTCACGTCTGTATTCCCATTCCCAGCACTTTGGGAGGCCCAGGCAGGAGAATCATGAGGTTAGGAGATGGAGACCATCCTGGCTAACATGGTGAAACCCCGTCTCTACTAAAAATACAAAAAATTAGCCAGGCATGGTGGCGGGCACCTGTAGTCCCAGCTACTCGGGAGGCTGAGGCAGGAGAATGGTGTGAACCTGGGAAGCAGCGCTTGCAGTGAGCCGAGATTGTGCCACTGCACTCCAGCCTGGGCGACAGAGCAGGACTCTGTCTGAAAAAAAAAAAAAAAAAAAAAATTATTCGAGATGTGTAAGTGTAAATTATACCTCTACTTTGATGCTTTACTTAAGGGGATGTATTCCTCCCTGTGCTGTGTGTACTTTGAGTGACAGAAAGCTGAAACTTCAGAAACTTGGTATGTCAGGGAATAGTCCTAAGTTGCCAGAACAGCTGGAAATAAGAGGAGAATCCCTAGAATGGAGGAACCCACAAAGAAGGTGATCTCCATTGCTAACTGACCAGCAAATTACACAGGCATAGGGAAATCAATCTCTAGGGAGCTAAGCTAAAAGAGCATGGAAAACCATGAAAATGAAGCAGAGATATCAAAAGCAGCATGCCCCAGGGGAGGCAATAATGGCAGTTTGAATCCGGACAAGTTAACTGTCAAACAGAACAAACAAACATAAAATCAATAATACTCAGGGGAAAAAAAACCCAGGAGAATCCAGAGTCATTACAATATATTACAATGTCCAGCTTTCAATAAAAAATTAACAGGCATGTAAAGAATAGGAAGAAAAGACAGGAGAAAAGGCAGTCGTAGCAAGGGACTCGAGTATATCCAGATATTTGATTTAGCAAAGACTTCTAAGCATTGCTCTTATTTTGACACAGTAATTATATTGATTGATGTTTAAATGTTAAGTCTATGTTGCATTGTACTTCCATGGCAATCATTCTGAGAAGATAAAAGCCATGGGACCAGTGTTCTTTCTTCTGTTATTTGGCACTTAAATTCAGTAATTTTGCACTAAAATATAAACCCCATAGATGTAGGGACTGTTATGTATTGCTTTGTTATCCCTAATGACTGAAACAGTGTCTGACATAGATTGGGTGCTCAATGAATAGTTATTGAATGAATGAATGACTAAAATATAAACTAAAATTACTGGTTGGCTCCATGAAGAAAGACTTTCAGATAGTCTCCATCCATGGTGAGGCAATCAAGGGTTGATCATGTGACCAGTTATTAATCTTATTTTGTGTCCATATTTAAGATTTTTAAATAGATGTTTAATAGAAGTAAATAGCAAAATAAATTCATCATCACTAGCTAAATATTGACATATCTGTCATTGCCATTGAACATAGCTATTCATCACCAGGTAAACATTACACATTTTAAACTGTAAGGTACAAAAGGGGTACAATTAAGTAATCTGTGAATTTAAAACATATCCAGGGTAGAATTTCATTGAAAACATAATAGGTGAATATATACTTTAAATTTTAAAAAATGAATATCTGGTCTTTCAGTTTAATCCTCTACTGGTCTATTGACTGTTAAACAAAGTTGCCAATTTGTAACTTCAAAGGAAAACAAAGTGACCACAATTATGTACTGATAAGTAGATCTCTAGGAAAGAAATCAGAGATCCCCTAAGCAAAGCATCCATTGACCCTTTGGAAATTCTCTTTAAACGAGCATAAAGCATGTTATTAGCCTTTTGGTCACCAGGGGGCAGTGTTGTTTCAGACCAACACAATTCACACTATAGCTGTAGTAACTGTCCAGAAAGTACCAACCAGAATCCAACTGCCAGCTTCACACTGTTACTCCACAAACCCTCACAGTAACTTGTTTACAAGGTGAATAGCTAAAGGCAGACAATATAGGATGAAGCGAAATGCTGAAAGAAGAGAAATGTTACCCAAATTATCTGAAATGCAACACATTTTGTTCATTGCTGTAGAGGTTAGTAAGAGACTAACAAATCTTTACTAATACATACCCTGGTACTTACCATGCTTATCAAGTCCAATTGGCTACAGCAAGCACTTCAGAGGGAGAAATAAAACTTTCAAAGAAGTCAAATATTTGTAAATGAAAATAAGAATAGTTTTTGATGTAACTGGAACAAGATAAGCTTTGCTTCGTTTGCTGTGCGAATGGTGAAATGGTCTTAAATTTTAAATATTGAATTACACTAGAATTTTACTAACTGCAGAAGGTGTAAATTTGATAGCCACTTTCATCCAAATGCTTTGGATAAAGCTTTGTCTAAGAATAACCTCAAATATTATTTTATTTTCAAATATTAGGCTAGAAAAATACTATCCCAAATACAGGTTTGAGATTAATTCAGAATAATAAGACAAAAGTTTGGAGAAGATTTTAGAATTAAATCATTTCACCCTTCCTAGCTGTTGTTCCCATTGTAAATGTGACATTTTAGTCAATAAAATGCAAAAGTGCAAAACATTTTTAAATAACAGCAAAACACAAAATGAAATTCATGTTGTGATTAATGCATGTTATTAGAATGGAATTTAAATTGCATTCTTGCTTTGCCTTCTTTAAAAAACATATAATGTTATAGTGATATGTTTTCAAACTCTCATACAGAATCAAGACCATCGAGAAAGCTTGCAGAGGAACATATCCCATTCTTACCTCTTAACAGCAATTTAAAAGTTAAGAACACCCATACAGAACATCAGCTAAGCTAGGAAAGGCAAAACTGATTGGGCTTGTTCTGAAAGTCGATCTGTGTCAATCAGAATAATGGTCTTTATAGTGCTATACGATTAAGTCTAATTTCTTAAATATGAGGAAAAATGAACTTTGCAATTATTTTTAAAAATCTTTTCATTTCTTAGCCAGTGTGAAAAGGCAAAAAACAAAACAAAAAAACACAAGACTTTCCCAAGATTAGGGGGAAATGACCTCACTGTTAATATTCATCTGCTGAGAGCAGTTATGGGACCCATGTCAGGAGTACATGCTTCAAATAAGATGGGACTTGAGAATTGCTGGGAGACTTCAGGAACATTCTTTAACTTCATGGGGCCTCAGTTATCCCACCTTTAAGGGGAATAGTAATAGCAATAGTACCTTGGAGGATTTCTGTGATAAAATGAGAAATGTTTGTGAGAAATACACAAAATATTGGCTTACTGAAAGATGTTAGGAGGCAAGCAAGTATGCCTATTTTCATTCAATGTTTATTATTTCAAAGGCAAAGTTTCCATATAGATTAAGGCCTTCCTAACATCTAAATACCTTTTCTAGTTCTTACTGTATGAAGATAAGAAGGATGGTTGGAGGCTTTGTGAGGAATACCTTTCTCCTCTGCTCCCCTCTCACTCCCATAGGCTGGTAGCAGCTGATTTCACTACCTCAGATACGCAAATTGATGCCACCTTCCTGTAGCCACTTTTGCCATAGCTGACTTATTTGTTGGGTGGTGGGGAGGGGAGCGGGCAGGATTAGGCGAGGGGTAGTAGTTGGGATTTATTGGTCTTGGAATTCAACCATCCGATGTATTTGTTTTCCTGTGTCTACTCCCTTAAGTCTGCAGGCACTGTCTAGTAATTTTATAGTTTTCAGCGGCACCCCAGGGGACAGGACACCTTGGCCTTTTCATAATCACTCTAGAGTCTCAAAGCAGAAAGGAAAAAAGTTAACGATCAGCTATGCAAAGGCTTGTGGGAATTGCTTAAAGACAGCCGATTTTCACTTTACCAGAGTTACTAAAGGACTTCAGGAGAAGGATCCCGTCCCTGCAGGAGCGTTTGTGGTTGAAGAAGCAGGCTAGCGAGCGCTCAGGTGCGCCTCGGCAGCTTGACTGGGGTCCGCAAGCCCGGTGCGACTTATTAGCTGCTTGCCGCCTACTGACACTCTGGCGGAGAACTGGAGGAGGCGCCCAGTGGGCTCTGGGTTCGGCCCGGAGCAGGGCGTTTCTGAGGAACCGGTCTGGGGTTTCCCAACTCAGGCGATCAGGATAGGCAACAGCCAAGAGAGGCGCTCAGTTGCTTTGCACCCTCCTCCCACCTCGGTTCTGTCCACACCCACGGGCGCCCCGCCCCCTTGGCCTTATAGAGGGGACTCGGCACCTCGGCGCGCCTCGGAGCCAGAGGTTTCCCGGAGAGGAAGGCGCGGCTGCCTCCGGGGCCAGTGAGCCCTGGCGCCGCCGCGGCCGCGGTCCCAGTAGCGGCATAGGGCGGCGGCTGCGCCCCGCACCATGGAGGGCAGCCCAGCCACAGCCGCGGTAGCCGCCGACCTCCGCCGCCGCCCGCGCCGCGTCTGCCCCCTCCCGCTGCGGCTCTCTGGACGCTATCCCCTCCTCACCTCGAAGCCAACATGAAGGAGACCCGGGGCTACGGAGGGGGTGCCCCCTTCTGCACCCGCCTCAATCACTCCTACACAGGCATGTGGGCGCCCGAGCGTTCCGCCGAGGCGCGGGGCAACCTCACGCGCCCTCCAGGATCCGGCGAGGATTGCGGATCGGTGTCCGTAGCCTTCCCGATCACCATGCTGCTCACCGGTTTCGTGGGCAACGCACTGGCCATGCTGCTAGTGTCGCGCAGCTACCGGCGCCGGGAGAGCAAGCGCAAGAAGTCGTTCCTGCTGTGCATCGGCTGGCTGGCGCTCACCGACCTGGTCGGGCAGCTTCTCACCACCCCGGTGGTCATCGTCGTGTACCTGTCCAAGCAGCGTTGGGAGCAGCTCGACCCGTCGGGGCGGCTCTGCACCTTCTTCGGACTGACCATGACTGTTTTCGGGCTCTCCTCGCTGTTCATCGCCAGCGCCATGGCCGTCGAGCGGGCGCTGGCCATCAGGGCGCCGCACTGGTACGCGAGCCACATGAAGACGCGTGCCACCCGCGCTGTGCTACTCGGCGTGTGGCTGGCCGTGCTCGCCTTCGCCCTGCTGCCGGTGCTGGGCGTGGGCCAGTACACCGTCCAGTGGCCCGGGACGTGGTGCTTCATCAGCACCGGGCGAGGGGGCAACGGGACTAGCTCTTCGCATAACTGGGGCAACCTTTTCTTCGCCTCTGCCTTTGCCTTCCTGGGGCTCTTGGCGCTGACAGTCACCTTTGCCTGCAACCTGGCCACCATTAAGGCCCTGGTGTCCCGCTGCCGGGCCAAGGCCACGGCATCTCAGTCCAGTGCCCAGTGGGGCCGCATCACGACCGAGACGGCCATTCAGCTCATGGGGATCATGTGCGTGCTGTCAGTCTGCTGGTCTCCGCTACTGGTAGGTAGTTCCAGGGTTGGGGAAAGTCAGGATGTGTGTGCGAGTAAGCGGGAACGTAAGGCTTTTCTAAGTGCTAAGTGGCAGCACCTGCAGGGGTGTGTTTGCAACCGCAGAGTGCTGGAGTATCCTCTCCTCCTATCCGCGCCGTCTTGGTTACAGCTTCAGAGTTGAGCTCCTCACTTAGCTGAGCGCCTTCGAAGAGCCAGGATTCGCATTACGCGCTGGTTATGAGCACATAGAGATCACAGGGCTGTTCACATTCTAGTCGGGGAGGAGATAGGATATGTCACTGAAATGACACATATGCAGAGATAGAGGTTTGTCCTGGGTGTATTAAGAGCAGAATGGCTATGATAACTGCAGCCTGATACTGTGAGGGTTTTCTTTATTTCAAATACCTCTCTCACGTTAATGAGATTTTCAGTCTGCAACCCCAGACAGTCACAGCCCTCCTGCGACGTATGAGCAGCTGCTTCAAGGTTCATTTTTGATGATGTAGGAGAACGAAAGATGCGAGTTTCCTCCTCAGCCCTTCGGCATGGTGCTTGGCTCTCTAGGAGTACCTGAACGATAGTCAGTGGGATCCGGAAACCCAGCAGGCCAGCATTTACTCACCCTTGTAGCAATCAAGCAGGGTTTGCTAATCCTGAGAGAGGAGGTAGAGGTTTCCCATGTCCTAGCTCCTCACACCAGAGCAATGCAAAGGAGCAAGGGATGTTTGCAAAGGCTCTTTGTCCAACACTTGACCTTACGTGATATTTTTGAGGTTTTTTTTCTGTGTTACTTTTAGCTAGAAATGTCCATGTGTAAGTGCTGTTTACTTATTCTTGAAGAATGGATGCTTACTTAGGCCCTGGGGAGTCTGGGCTAATAGATGTTGCAGAAAGAGCCATTTGCTCACTGTCACAAAGGTATAACCAACTATATGTATTACACAATTGTGAAAAACCTTTGAAACATGTGAATACAGTTTTTTTTTTTTTCCTAATTGTGGTAAAATATATTACATACAATTCAGTATTTTAACCATTATTGTGTGTACAGTTCAGTGGCATTAGGCATTAAGTACGTTGACTTTTTTGTGTGCCATATATACTTTTAAATCCCTTGCATTTGAAAATAGAAATGTAATTTCTTTCACCTGGTTTGGTAGATTGGAGCACAAACCTTGGCTCCAAATCAGTGACATGAGGGGACAAGGAGAGTTATGTTGAGACCTAACTGCCTACAAGTCGCTGTATGGTCACAGTTCTTTATTCCAGGAGTTGGAACTCAGGCTGGTGTCATCACTATGGCTTATCAAAACCAGCACCAGTTTTAGATATACAGTATTTACTTTTATGACTCAGGAATGGGGTGTACAGGAGGCCAACTAGGAAGGAAGAAAGAGTTCTAAATAGTAAACACTTTACTAAAGTGTGGTAATTAATATAACTTTAAAGACAAAAGGGTATCTGAATTTTTCACAAGGGTCATTTGAGCCCCACATCGTTGAGTTTGCTGTATCACATGATTTATATCCTAGGGGAAAAAATGCAGTTAAATCAATTGAACAAAATACCCACACAGTTAATCAGACTTATAATTTACTGTTTGTGTATTCTGTTTTTAAGTCAAAGAGAAACCATGTAGTGTGTTTTTGATGTAGACACTTTAATTCTAGTACCATGAGTATGGTGGCCTCAGAAAGAAAGTAGGTCAATCTTGAAAACTGTAATTTAGGATGGCCAAACTCACTCTTTCAAGAAAGACTGTATTTGAAACTAGTCTTACTTAATTTCAATTTATTTTCATTCGGATAATACTAATTGATTTATAGCATTTTACTGCACACTTTATTAATTCAATTATACAAACATTAAACAAAATAAATTCAACATGTGATCATATCAAAAAGGAGATTTTTTTTTTTTTTTGGACACAGAGTCTCGCTCTGTCACCCAGACTGGAGTGCAGTGGTGACATCTCAGCTCTCTGCAGCCTCCACCTCCCAGGTGCAAATGATTCTCCTGCCTTAGCCTCTGGAGTCACTGGGATTACAGGTGCCCACCACCACAACCGGCTAATTTTTGTATTTTTAGTAGAGATGGGGTTTCACCATGTTGGCCAGGCTGGTCTCGAACTCCTGACCTGAGGTGATCCACCCGCCTCAGCCACCCAAAGTGCTGGGATTACAGGCATGAGCCACTGTGCCCAGCCTAGGAGAAATTGGAACTTTTAAAAGAAAATGGTTCCATCAGCTGGGTGCGGTGGCTCATGCCTGTAATCCCAGCACTTTGGGAGGCCGAGGTGGGTGGATCACGAGGTCAGGAGTTCGAGACCATCCTGGCCAACATGGCCAAACCCCGCCTCTACTAAAAACGCAAAAATTAGCGGGGCATAGTGGCATGCGCCTGTAATCCCAGTTACTCAGGAGGCTGAGGCAGGAGAATTACTTAAACTGGGGAGACAGAGGTTGCCGTGAGCCGAGATCGAGCCACTGCATTCCAGCACGGGTGACAGAGCAAGACTCCATCTCAAAAAAAAAAAAAAAAAAAAAAAAAAAATCTCCAAATATCTTCAAAAAGATTTACTGTACAAAGTTAGAATTATTTCAGAGAAAAGAAACTGACAAAGCTGCTTTCTTAATAGAGAATTATAAGAAGGAAAACACTAGAATTTAGTGATTGAATTTTCAGCATATTAGTGTTTAAATGAGATTAACACTGTTTTTTCTAACTATGGGTATAATATAGATTTCCTGTTAGCATATGTTAAGTTGGGTATAGGATACTGTTCTAATTGTCCAAACTTCTTACTTGAAAGGACGCTGAGTATATCCTGGATCATGACTATAACAAATATTCAGTTGTTACTGCAGGAAAACTTGGTAGGACAGAAACACCATAATAAGAAAATGTCCCAACTGCTACAAGTTCCCGCTACATAAATACTTAAATAGAGGCTTATGTATCCTTAAATAAAAGCTTTGTTTCCTTTTTCTTTTTCTCAGAAACTTTGCAAAATACAATATAAAATGTGAAATTAAGAGAGTGCAGTGGAAAACGATGTCACCATGATAGATGATCTACAGTTTTTAGTTACTGGTTATTGAAGACATCACATTGTCATTCTATTGCAATCAGCCAGTTGATTCAGCAATGCAATCTATTTGACTTTTATCATTATTGTTTTATATTTTATGAATGATGCTCACCATAGCTCAGTTGTTTGACATGATAGCTAAATTTCCAGAAATGGGAATAACCTTAGGATTTTGTTCAAAGGAAGCTGTGAGTACATTTTGTACTTTTATAACTTGGCACTCCCAAACAGGTAGAATGTGGCTAACACTGTAAGCTATCTCAAAAACAGTAAATATAAAGCCAGCTATGAACATTGTGAAAAGTGAGGTATGAGCAACAGTTTCTCATCATCAATCTTGGAACTGGATAAAAGCAGCCTTAGAAACTTTTGCCTTTAATCTTGAACCGGTGAATTCCTTGCTCAGTATCCACAAATACAGAGATTTTCAGTTCAAGAAGATGTTTCACAATGTAGTTGTGATTTTTTTTTTGTTTTAATTAAGAATCACTGATATATTTTGACAAGTGAAATTTGCCTTTAATATGCCACATGTGGTAGATATGTATGGTCAATTATTTTCAGAAATAATGTTGTTTTGTAGCATATAAAAGTATTATTCAATTGCTAATCTCTTCTGCCACTAACTTTCTGCCATATTCAGGATGTTGTTTCAGAGAAAGTGATTAAACCTATGAATCCACATTATAGGAAAAATATTCTACAGTTTTTCTCTTTTGAAAAAGGTGTGAAGGTCAACAAAATATTCTATGATTGTAAGACTGATTATATTATAATCTGTTCAGAAAAGCAGAATTTACACATTTATGAGTGAAATATTTAAAGAACCCTAATCCAAGACAAGATGTAATTAATGCCTTTGGCTCTCAGAAAAAAAGTCAGTCTGAATTTGCCAGAGGAGATTTTCAGGAAGAGGTGAATTGGCATAACCTGACTTCATGACTTCATGACTGAGACCAAGTGTGTCCGCAAACCCAGCCCAATGAGAACAAAGGGTGCACACTAGATCAATGGGAATTACGTTTTTAAAATGTTCAAGAAAACAAATTTAGGTGGTTAGTCCCTGAATGACAAGATAAGGACTTCACTCTTTTGAGTTTATCAGAAAGCGCCAAGAATTAAACACTTCTTAAGCCATCACCTTTGAAGAAATTCACATGGTCTGAAGTTGTAATATAATTGTGAGTCACTGACCCTTCTCTTTTGAACAAGCTGTGAAGGTCAGCAACTAAAATATAAAAGTTTCCACAGGTTCAGTTTTCTGGGACTAACGCTCAGGAATATGTTACAGGCATCTGTAACAGACTATGATTCATCTGAGGGTGCAGAGGGGTGGTAGGTGAGGGATACTGGGTGCTAAGTTTCAGTTTTTAGTTCTGCCCTTGCATTGCAGTAAAGAAATGCAGGGAAGTCCCCCCTTAAACTCTTTACATCTGTGTAACACTTTTGCAACCTGCCCGTGTTCCACATTTATCTCATTCGTGCCTCTCAGTGCTAAGATCTACAACTGTAACATGTCAAATCCTTACTCTCCCATTTTTTCCAATTGCTTTACAAAAAGATAGGAAGTAAGTTTGTATTTCAACTCCTGCCAGCTGTGCTTCTTGAGAAGCCATAGACAATCTCTCAAGTCTTCCTTTTCCCTAGAAAATTCCAACTTTCATAAAGATGGTAACCAATGAAGGAGTCTAATTTTGGAGGGGGGTTCCTCTTATATCTTGTCCCCTATGTTTATGGCAACATTTTACTGTAAACATAGTACAGTCTCTGACCTACGATTTTTCAACCTCATGATGGTGTGAAAGGAATGCACATTCAGTAGAAACTATACTTGGAATTTGGAATGTCGATCTTTTATCGGGCTAGTGATATGCAGTATGATACTTTTTGGTGATGAATGCACAGCTCCCAGTCAG